GTGTCTTTAAGGAGTCAATCCCTATATTATGTATAAAGTGAAGGAATAAAAATAAAATCAATACACATAATATTAAATTTTATTACACACATTCGCAGAATAATTATTTTAAAAGACACGAAGGTTTATTTCAAGCGATGGTTTAGACGTATATGTTTTATTTGAAGAGGCTGCTTTTTTATTGTTAAAATTTTATACGCGCTTAGGGAGGGGGGGGGGTTGTGCCTTAGTCTAGACATATATTTGCCCATTGCTATGCATTATATGTAGAGAATGTAGTTACACAGAAACTATAAATGCTCACTACATTCTCAAATAAATCTCCATGAAAATATCCAGCTGCAGCTTAACATTTTACATCTCAAACTAATGCGATCAAACAGTCAATAACTGCAGTAAATCATCATGAACCGTATCAGCTATATTTATTATCATTACAATGTATAAAATTAGCTACCATATCAAGTAATTCTTTGCCCATAGTTTAACATAAAAAAAACTAGCAAACAAGATAAATAAAAGATTGGGATTTAAAAACTTGCAAATAAGGATCGTAAAAAGTAAAGAAACAAGGCTGGAGATACTATAGACATTATTTACCTAAACTACCTAAACATGGAGCCAAGATAGGGGTTTGTAGTTTGAGTAGATGATGTCTACAGTATCTCCAGCCTTGTTTCTTTACTTTTTTTTGCGATCCCTATTTGCAGGTTTTTAAATTCTCAGTTTTTTATTTATCTTGTACTAATAAGTTTGTTTGTTAGAAGTTAAGCACAGAGTTACACAATGAGCTATCTGTTCTCTGCCCACCACGGGTATCGAAACCCGGTTTCTAGTGGTATAAGTCCACAGACATACCACTGTGCCATTGGGGGGCAACTATTTATTGAATTATTTTAACGTTAAAAAATATGCATAATTTATAGTATATATCCATCATAAAAGTACTACAAGTGTACTTTTCTCGTAATTTCATTTTTTTAATACTTCCATGGTCGACATGCAAGACAAGCCTAATATACATCTTTTACCGTAAGATAAAAAAATTCGTATTTAATTGCATAACTGTATCTGTGTTTCAACCTGAATATCTCTAATTGTGTTTATACTGTTCTTCACGGGATTTTTATTATGTTGGTAATGTTACAGCACGAAGATAAACATTATCTAATTGGTGTTTTAACCATTAGCCAAGTAGTGTTTTAGATGTCATGATCCTATTGGAGGGCAGTACTAGGTTATATGGCCAGGTGGTTAGGGCGCTCGACTCGTAATCTGAGGGTCGCGGGTTCGAATCCCCGTCACACCAAACATGCCAACCTCCGCCTTTGCCTGGTCCCAAGTCTAGGATGGGAAAAGAGGAGGGTTGGGCGCGGGGCTAGCAACTCCACCTGCTACAAGTAACTGCAACAACACCTTCCGTTGGCGAGGTGTCGTTGCGGCCCTATGCTCCACTGGGAGTTTACAGGAATAAAAACACAAAAAACTAGGTTATATTTAGCCATCATGGTCTTTCTAAAGGGCGTTAGAATTAACTAGTTAGTGTTTCATCTATTACTGTCCTAAAATAAGGTACTAACTTAGTAGAATTCACTTTTTGCATAGTTAAATTCTTTGGAATCCCTGAGGCTAAGCCTCATCGAATACGAATAACTGTTGAGAGCTTATACAACTATATGTTTTAGTTTCTTATCTACCTAAGTGGGTACAAGAAAAAAACTGACGCAACAACACAGAGTTATTACTGATACCCTCTCTGTTTATAATGTTTAGTTTGACTGATGATTCTATACAGATAAGACATGTATATATTAAACTTCTTTAATTTTCTACGGAGAATCTCAATGGCATAAGAATGCATGAACTGACGAACCATGTATTAATTCTCCGTTTTATGAAAACAAAATCTTTACAAAATTGAGAATTGTGCGTTTCACAAATAATTCGTTTATTAGCACCATGGTTTTGCCAGTAAAAGTACCAGATGTTACCTTTAATGGTAGTAATAAGTGAAATACTTGTGAAACGTACAATTGTCTTTGTTTTTCGCAATCAATTCTGTAATTATGGAGTTTCACTAAGTACCGACGGTTTCAAATATTAACTATATAAAACAAAATTTTACTTTTTTTTCGATACTTTTACAATCTACATCATATTAACTGCAACTAATACCCATAATAAAATTACTGAATCGCCAGCAGTCCAGTGAGACAAAATTTAGAAATTATTATACATTTAATGAGGTTTAACAGTCTTCTAACTTATGTTGGTACACACTGAAAACTCCTGCAAAAACGAGTAAAAGCAAAATGCACATTCGTAGATCCAAGACAAAAAAAACAAACAAAAAACTGGTCAATACTGATCGCACATCATACATAGAAATATATATACAATGTTCACTGATTATTAAACAGAGCTAAATAATAGCATATTGTTTTAATGAACCAAATTTATTAGGTAATGAATACGATACAACAAACAAACAAAAATGATTTAATCAACCTACTACCCAGCTGAAAAAGACATCCTTCTTTCAGGTTTGTCTTTACCAAGGCTGGAAAAGCGCTCCTCTTCTGCTACTAACAGTGATTTAACAAGACCTTAACCATTAACACAAAGGATTTCCTAAGAGTATTCCTAGCGGGCATGTAGCTCTGTACTGATAAACATATGCATCATCATATACGTATGTAGTTAGCTTGACGTCAACTGGGTATAATTAATTAGAGATTAAGTTAAGAATAAGTGTACGTGCTTGAATAACGCTAATTAAGAGTGTTTAGGAAAACTTTACTGAACCAGAAAACTCTACATATGATATATCTTAACCCTCAAATTACTGGCTTGTTTTTATACCGTTCCTTATCGGAAGAGGCCCGGCATGGCCAGGTGGTTAGTGTGCTCGACTCGCAATCTGCGGGTCGTGGGTTCGAATCCCATCCCACCAAACATGCTCGTCTTTCAGCCGTGGGGGCGTTATAATGTGATGGTCAATCCCACTATTCGTTGGTAAAAGAGTAGCCCAAGAGTTGGCGGTGGGTGGTGATGACTAGCTGCCTTCCCTCTAGTCTTACACTGCTAAATTAGGGACGGCTAGCGCAGATAGCCCTCGTGTAGCTTTGCGCGAATTTCAAAAAGAAACAAACAAACTTTTCACAAATTTAATCATATGCTGAGCATTATGTTTAGCTGAGTATTGAATAAAATAATATTACTACTTAAAAACATATGATGTATGTGTCACTAGGAAGTTCTAAACCCGTAACGTGTGAATTCTTTGTTAGACCTATTGACATAAGCTATGATGTTTTTTCAAGGAAATTAATGATTCTGTTTCCAGAATTATTTTTAGAAGGACTTGATGTGCAAATTTTATTGAATCTCAGTAGTCTATGTCAAGCTTTCAGTCATTGCAATCGTGAGAAGCTGAAAACTTTGGTTTAAGTTATGCACTCATTTCTGAAACGAGATTTTAAATGGAATATCTTTCTTTTCCGTTTATATTTGTCATCTGATATTAACTAAATTCAAACACATTCCTTCAAACTTTGAAATCTGTCAGTTTTGAGTAACAATATGTTACCAGATCTTATCTACTTGGCCAGAGTTATGCGAGATGAACGGAAAAATTGCGCTTGAAAACACAGTTCATAATCCATATTTCAACTACTATAAATAACCTGCACGTACAGATACATATTTGTAAAAAAAAAGTACACACAAAATTTGTTTTCAAAGCAGCCTGTATGCAAGTATTACGAATACATGTATACAGGCTGCTTTTGGGAACAAATTTTATGTGTAAAAAAAAAAAATGTGTTTTTCTGGCTCTCTCGAAATTTTATCTTTGTTATGACGCAACTTTCCTGGCAGGTAGATTTTTAACAGAAGTCTGATAGAAATAAAGTAAGGAGCAAGCTTATCGCATCAACGTGCCACTTGTAGAGCAGGTACGTTTCATTTCAGCGGTGTCCGGTTCTCTGGGAAAACACAGGTGCTCCAGAACATTTGGATGTATATATCCTAGCTCATTCTCTGGATGCTTATCCTTTCTAAACGTCTGCAAGGTAGGCTTTACATCTAATAGACGTTACTTGTTTCGGCTGACAAGAATAATTATTTATTCTGTTATTGCAACGATATAAATTTAGTGAACTTCTTGGAAGAAATACGTTCGTAATATACATTTTTATATGGATTTATATTTAAAGAATACGGATATTTTTATTACAGCCTGAAAGTCAAGATACTGATAAAGTATACAGTAAACTATATTTTATATATTTGGGGTCTGTTACATACATGCAGCTGATAAAACAAATTTAATCGAAAATCAATAATCTTTGTTCACCAAATTTATATTCATAATTTATGTTTTGCTTTACTTCACTTGTAATATTCATGCGGATACTTATACGTATTGAAACATATTACATTTGTTTGACTTGCAACCTTTACAAATTACGATTGTTTGACTTGCAACCTTTACAAATTACATTTGTTTGACTTGCAACCTTTACAAACTACGACTGAATTTTTATAAACCGGAATAATTAATGTGGGATTCCTAGATTTTTAGAAAGTTAAAAATGCGTAAAATATTCCTTTTTTAATATTTTTCATATTGAAGTTTAAAAATTCTAATATAGTTTGTATTTCTAGCCTCGCTCCTGTATTAAAACAACATGAAGACGGTTTTCATCTGTGTTCTCCTTTTCCTAGGAGTATCTGCCACCCCTATTAATGGTGAGTTCTTTCTCATTTCTTATTTGTGTATTCCTCAGATGGTATTTTGAAGTGCAGCTCAGAGAATTTTATGCAGTTCCAAAAGTTCAATGTGCAGTTGAAAATTGAATTTTTAGTGCAGTTGCATTTTTGCACGTAAATGCCAGAGAGCCGCAGAACTACCATTACAAACTATGTTCTAAAAACGTACGTCACATTTTATGTATAATGATGGACGCTACAATATAATGTAGATTTTACCATCATTAGATATAGTTTTAATTAAAGTCTCAGGAACATCTAATATAACAGAGTATCTATGATCTTAATAACGTTTTCACTATGCACGAAAATCGACTTTTGCATGCCAAAAGCAAATCGACAATAAACGAATTAATAAATACGTAAAATAATACCCAGCACGCTTTGGGGAAAGTTACAATGTGGTACACTTTTTAGCCTGTTACAATGGGGGTACTCTTTTTAGCCTGTTACAATGTGGTACTCTTTTTAACCTGTTACAAAGTGGTACACTTTTTAGCCTGTTACAATGTAGTACTCCTTTTAACCTGTTACAATGTGGTACTCATTTTAACCTGTTACAATGTGGTACTCTTTTTAACCTGTTACAATGTGGTACTCTTTTTAACCTGTTACAAAGTGGTACACTTTTTAGCCTGTTACAATGTGGTACTCCTTTTAACATGTTACAATGTGGTACTCTTTTTAACCTGTTACAATGTAGTACTTATTTTAACCTGTTACAATGTGGTACACTTTTTAACCTATAGTTTGTCCTTAAAATAGCCACTGATATTTTTTACAATTTCACTGTCTTCCAAGAATGAAAGAGAATTGAATGTATTTGTTCTAAGTCCATTTGCTTCGTTATTTTTATTATTTCCCTTAATGATATTATCTCTTTAGTTTCCTTTAATTATTTACTGTAATTTTAAGCATGAATATTTCCAGATGCTTTGCATCAGAGCAGAAAATCGGCTCTTTCAAGCGACCTTGGTCTAATGGAACTCTTGGAGGATTTAATGAAAGGAGATGGCTTTGAGACAATTATGAAGGCAAGCTACGAAATAAACTTTTATGATGTTACTAATATCACTGAACCTACTCGTTTTTTATAACAACACTAAAGTCTGAAATATATGTATGACTTGTATTCGGGACTTCTCGTTCCAAAAAAAAAGCCTCTATCATGTGAATGGAATTAGTTACTTTGTAAGACAATAATTATGCTTACTTTTTTGTAAACCAATATTCGAACGTAAGATACACAACCTATCACAGTGTCAGAATATTTTAAGACATAACTACTTAACTGGAAAATACATAAAGTTAGTTCACATATCTTGTATCTTTGAAACTATGTTCCATAAAAAACAAAAACAAACTCAAACTGAAAAAATTCCAGTTCTGTAAAATCAACTAATTAAGGAGGTTTGTAGGCTAGTTTAAATGAAAGGTGGCTAATCTGTAATTATTTTCTAGTTAATTAAAGAGGTTTCTTGACTAACTTAAATAAAAGGTAGCCTAATCTGTAATTATTTTCTAGTTAATTAAGGAGGTTTATAGACTAATTTAAATAAAAGGTAGCCTAACCTGTAGTTATTGTCTAGTTTATTCCATTCTAACACGTACTTAAACCATCCCCTATAAAAGTATCCACTGATTGGTCTAGGTAATTGACGTAGCCCACAAGATCGAAAGCATAATCAAGGAAATTCGCACGAAGGTTCCTGAAGCTTACGAAGAAATCCGCGAGGTGGCCGAAGAACTTATTGCAGATGTCAAAGAAGTTGTTGAAGAAATCAAACAACTCTTGCATAAGGGTAAGGCTCTCAATAACTAGAAATCAATCATAAGTCTTCCTATTTCTTTCTTTTTTCACGCTGTAACATGTTATGAGATATTAATTTTTTAGGTATATCCAAAGTTAAGTATAATATCTATTATATAAAAATGATTTTCACTCGTGAATGTGAATAGCAATGCATAAAATTAGCATATAAATTTCATTTTTTGAGGGTTTGTATTAAATTAAATTATCATAGTGTCCGAAGTGCAACAAACATCTAAACTCGATTATATTTAGTTAAAATCATCGTCTCGAACAAATTTTGATTTTAAATATTGTATTAAATATGTGAAGTATAAACTTTTATTTTTCTATATATACAAAATCGAAGCAAACTATAAAATGACATTGAAACAAAATTTATTTTTATAAGACTGACAACAACACCGTACTACGTAATTAATGAATACAATGACACAAAATTTATTTTATAAGACTGACTACAACATCGTACTACGTAAATAATGAATACAATGACACAAAATTTATTTTTATAAGACTGACTACAACACCGTACTACGTAAATAATGAATACTATGAAACAAAAAATATTAATATTTTAAATGAGTAAAGAAAAACACAAAGGCAAATACGTTAATGTTTCGTTTTCTACTTTGCATCCCCCCAGTGGCACAGCGGTATGTCTACGGATCTGCAACGCTAGAAACCCCAGATAGCCCATTGTGTAGCTTTTTGCTCAGTTCATTACAAAACAAACACATCTTTTTAGATTTGCATTCGTATTAACTTGCATGAAAGTAGGTTTATCATTGAATATTATTCATTATTGCCCAGCATATTTTACTTTGGCACTTTTGTAAGTGATTAACTTATCTGTACACTACATCTATTTTCACGTGTCATTGATAATGAATACTTATATCAAATTCAGAATTTTATTGTTGTTTTTGGGATTTACAAGGAGTACTTCTCTTTTTTGTTCTAAGTATGTCTTTATTTCACAAAATAGAATTTTGACATATAAAGTCGACACTGAAATGCCTATTGGTAGTTAGTTTTACATAAATATATAAATATACATATATATATATATGATAAGTTACCTGCATACGTTTATCATACTTGTATTTTCACTAGATCCCAAGGGTTACGGATTTAATCTTCTTGATGGTCTCACCAAGCTAACAGATGGTACCAAGTTGGGAACGATTATGAGGATCCTTAGCATCGCTGACAAGGCTCACAAAGTGGTGACGGACCTGAAAAATGTAATATAGCAGAACAAGTTGATGTATTAATATACTGAATCCAATACTTTAAGCAGAACAAGTTGATGTATTAATATACTGAATCCAATACTTTAAGCAGAACAAGTTGATGTATTAATATACTGAATCCAATACTTTAAGCAGAACAAGTTGATGTATTAATACACTGAATCCGATACTTTAAGCAGAACAAGTTGATGTATTAATATATTGAATCCGATACTTTAAGCAGAACAAGTTGATGTATTAATACACTGAATCCGATACTTTAAGCAGAACAAGTTGATGTATTAATATACTGAATCCGATACTTTAAGCAGAACAAGTTGATGTATTAATATACTGAATCTAATAATTTAAGCAGAACAAGCTGATGTATTAATATACTGAATCCAATACTTTAAGCAGAACAAGTTGATGTATTAATATACTGAATCCAATACTTTAAGCAGAACAAGTTGATGTATTAATATACTGAATCCAGTACTTTAAGCAGAACAAGTTGGTGTATTAATATACTGAATCCAATACTTTAAGCAGAACAAGTTGGTGTATTAATATATTGAATCCAATACTTTAAGCAGAACAAGTTGATGTATTAATGTACTGAATCCAATACTTTAAGCAGAACAAGTTGATGTATTAATACACTGAATCCAATACTTTAAGCAGAACAGGTTGATGTATTAATATACTAAATCTAATAATTTAAGCAGAACAAGCTGATGTATTAATATACTGAATCTAATAATTTAAGCAGAACAACCTGATGTATTAATATACTTAATCCAATACTTTAAGCAGAACAAGTTGATGTATTAATATACTGAATCCAATATTTTAAGCAGAACAAGTTGATGTATTAATATACTGAATCCGATACTTTAAGCAGAACAAGTTAATGTATTAATGTACTGAATCCGATACTTTATCGGTACATTTTCTATAACAATAAATTAGTTTAGCTTAAGTACCTAAAGCGTTTTGAGAATTAACGTCTAAGAACTTATATTAAATAATCAGTTTGATCAACAGAATATCAATTATAACTGGATAAGAAAATAATGTAGAGTGGAGAATTTTTAACTTTTTAATGAACGTTAACAGTGAGGCCGGAAGCGTGTTATAGTGGTGGTCGGATCTTAAGATCCAAGGTTCGAGTCTTCAGTATACCACTGAACAAGCTCCGCTCTTTCATCTATGGATGCGTTGTAAAAGTAGCACTCAATTCTCTTATTCCGTTAATGGTAGACATGTAGGCGGCGAGTGCTACTGACTGATTGCCCTCTCTCTTTGTTTAACAGTTCTAAATTAGGGAGTTTTCGACTTGAACCTTGAGGTCGCTGACTTCGCCTTTTAACTCATGTGTTCAAGTACTTTAACACTCATTATTAATTTCATGGAAAATACTGCATCAGAATGCTAAATAGAATACATATACTCTTCATCTAATATCAGTTTAGTGAAAATGACATTCGAACTTTTTTTTTTTTTCTATCTTTCTTTTTTAATTCACGTTTACTAATTTATCTCTTTAGTTTGTCCCAGATTTAAAGAACCACCTTGAAAGTTTGACCGGAAAGTTGACGGAATCTATGAAAGACTTACTCCACCACACACTCCATGAGTTGGGTCTTGACTCAAAACAAAATCAAAACGGTGTCGTTCGCATGGATATCGGAAAGCTGGTTAATGATCTCTTGGAGCATGTTGGGGACGGAATTCTTTTCAAGGTTAGTGATCGACAAAGTATACGCGTGAAAATTTAGATACATAGGCTGCTTTGAATGTTCACATAACTTAATATTTATTTTATATAACGCTACAACTAGAAGTAACAAGGAATAGATCTGTTACCCAACCCCCTATAATTGCTAAACAAATAACAAATCTTGAACAGTTCATGTAAATGCCCCCCCCCCCCAGTGGCACAGCGGCATGTCTGCGGACTCACAACGCTAGAAACCGGGTTTCGATACCCGTGATGGGCAGAGCACAGATAGCCATTTGTGTAGCTTTGTGCTTAACTACAAACAAACTGTCATCTAAATGATAATTCTAAGCAGTGAAGAAAACACCCATAGAACTGACACTGAAGTGGATAAAGATCAGTTGATCTATGGTAAACCATAAACCAAGAGATTTAGTGGGACGAACTTAACACAGTTCTTTTGTTTTTTGATTAAGCGCAAAGCTGCTTAATTGGTTATTTGGGCTATACCCACCATAGGGATCGAACTCGGGATTTTAGCGTCATAAGACCTTAAGCTTACCGCTGATCCCCCGGGAGGCCACAGTACTCTTACTCGGTATTAAACTTTGAAATGTATACAGCTGATTACTGTCCATGATCTCAAATCGTTTAATTATAACATAAAGGAAAATAGAGATTAAAACTATTAAGTACTTTTGAGCAAAATCATCATAAAAAAAAACCTCATAAAATGGCTGGAGAAAAATATAACTTGAATAGAAACGAGATATGCATGTAAAGAGTTATGGTTGTTTTTAGTGTAAAGCCACAAGACGAGTTATCTGGACTCTTTTACCGCGGGGAATCGAACCCCGAACTTTGGTGTTGGAAAGTTGTAAGATTACTCTTTATCTACCGGAGGAACAAGCTGTGAAAAGGAAAGATGCTAGAAATGTTTAATGTCACCCATTTCGGTGCAAAATCGCCACCTACAAATTTCAGCCGAAAGAAATACAAATAAATAATTCTGACTGAAAGTCGGAAACGATCTTTCTCCTATATTTTTTGTGATTTACTTAGTACCAGCTCGTGATCTAATGTAGACATCTGATTGTCTTATCGATCATGCGAGCTGCAACTAACGTATCTTGTAACACACCAATTGGGTTACTTATATTTTTAGCTGTATACAAACTTCCAATTTGGCCAGAAATCTGTCATTATATTTGTGTGTCCAAGTATTTCAGTGACAAATACTCAAATGCAGTTTCTTTATCTGATCTTACTTTTATCATATTTATAAAAACTTATGTATATGATATATCTTAGCCCTCAAATTACTGGCTTCTTTTTATACCGTTCCTTATCGGAAGAGGCCCCGCATGGCCAG